CTTCTCTTCTCTTCTCTTCTCTTCTCTTCTCTTCTCTTCTCTTCTCTCCTCTCTCTTTGTCTTCTCTCTCTCTCTTTCTCTTCTCCAAAAACCGTTAAGGCTCTAAAATAACAACTGGCGAAAAGAGCTCCAACAAGTAAACTTACATCAGGTTTTGTTTCAAAATACACCTTTAACCTGAGGTTATTCATAAGAATAAACTAACCTTTAACTTAACCTAACCTAAGCTTAGGTTAGGTTATTCATGCAAATAACCTAACCACAACCTTGATTTCAAATAACCTAACTCATGTCTTTTAACCTAACCCGATCTATAGGGTAAACTGCTATGAAGTATGTGCTGTCCAAGCAGTCCGTTCTATCCGTCATGTGCTGTCGTTTAACATCGTTTCACCGTGCATAGCCACGTAGGTGTAACCTCTTTATTGGGTTGAACGATTGCATCTACACTTGTTTTCCTGGAAGATGCAGCGGTGGACCAATGAAAAAGAGAGGTCGAATGAAAAACCTGGATGCAAAGGCTCTCGAGCCTCGTTAGGTTCCGTAAACACACACCCCGCCGGGAGGGGGTCGGCTCTGCTTACAAAGCGTTTGCAACACCAAAACCAAAACTGTGTTTTGCTTCTTTCTCTCCAACGAAACGGGACTACTTCTTTGTCTTGCTTCCCAATTTCTGCCAGGCAGATGTGTGGTCCACCGATGGTGCCCAACTGCTGGAGGCGGATCCGCGCGGCAACGCCAACAGGTCGGGCAGCTGGTGCGCAGTGACTCACACATCCATCTTCGCCATTGCACAGTCGATCGACTTCGGAAAGGCATTGGTCACCGAGCGGACCGTGAAAGCAGAAGGTTCCCAAACTTGTGAAGAAGAGGGATGGAAGCGGGGGGGGGCAGAACGGTCACGGAAGGGGTTCGTTTTGTGTTGTCGTGAAGTAAAACCTCGGGCATGTTCTTACTCATTGTCTATTCAGATGCATTTGATCAGGTACAACTGGGCAATCTTTGATGTTGCCATCACCAACAACCCCCAACAAAAAGTTGAGCCAAGACTTCTCAATTTGCAGAAGACTTCATTCTACCGAGACACGTCTTGTATTACAGCGGGCTGGAGCGAAAAAAAATAAATAAATGAAAACGCGGAACAAAAACGCCAAAAAAGAACACACACACACCAAAAACCAATGGCCGAGGTTACTTCGTTGCAGTCCTTTTGGCCTTCGCTGCATGTTGTTTCATCGTGCCGGCCCTGTGCGTGGTGGTGCTCCGTCGCCTCAAAGCGCCATCCGTTGGGAAAGCTTATCTCACCGCCAGGGGCCGCAGCAGGGCGATTACCTTCTCGATGACTAAGATGGTCAGTGAAAAGGACACCTTTGGTGGTGGAATGGGATTCATCTTTTTATAGTGATCATGAACTTACACAGTCATATTTGTATGAACTTACAACGTGCAGCTTAGGTGATTTCGCCTTCGCCACGGTGGGACCACGGCATGGCTTGAAACTAGACTTAAACCCCTCAAAACCCTTACGGGGCCGTCGTTTGTTGCCTTTTCCGTTGCTTATGTGTCCTGCGAACGCCCTGAAGGAGGATGGTCAAACTGACGGCAAGGTGCTGGTGAAGTGGGATGTGACGCCGGATGTGCTGGAGGAGTGAAGTTGTTTTGGTCGACTGCGTTATGGCCATGGCCATGGCTATGCCCTGACTATGTTTTGTAGCTAGGTATGCTGTACTGTAGTTGCGTTAGGTCGGATAGAAATTTGTACCACGAATTACTCGTGTTGAGGATTTGGACAGCCTGAAACTGCGCCATGTCTCCACTGAGTTGAGCACCAAGAGTCGAGAAGTGATACGTGTGCAGAGTCTGAAAAACAATTCTGCCTTGGAACGATCGCCCAGATCTGCGAGTTCCAGGCACAGTGATGGCACAGTGACTAGCCATGTGTCCTTTGACACCGACGCTTCTGTTCCTGCAGATAGGGTGGATCATTCGATAGTGGTGTGTAGTATCGATGATCTTCTACCACCGACGCCACCAGCCCTACCGGAAGCCTATGGAGATGGTGAGATGGTGTTGTATTGGTCACAGTCGTTGCAGCAGAATGCGTCTGCTGTCATTGTGGGGAAGGGGACCTGGAGCAGTGACTTGGAATTGGCTGTGATGAAAGTACCGTATGCTTGTTAAGTTTCATTGGACCTTGGGTAGTGTGCGTGTTGTGAACATCGCAACTTGTAAACTTTAGCCGTTCTGGTCGCTACCAGGTGATGAACAAGGTGAAATTTGGCCAGCTTACGATTGTCGAGTTGGTCGACATCAGCAACTTCGCTGTCGAGTGCCATTGTCCTTACTGCGACCAGCCCCAATGGTTGGGGAGAAGATTGTTGTACAGATCTGTGGCGAATGGTTCCCAGCTCGTTTCATGGCATCCTTCTTTTTCCTTGAGGTTGCGCGGGTCGCTTTGGCGGAGTCGAACCATGAGGCCCTCGATGGTTTGTCAGATGACTTGCAAGTGCCATTTCGGTGCATTGGACGGCGCTTCTCCAAAGGGCAGATGTGCAGAATCTATAGAGGACAAGATGGGTGGGTGAATGCTCGCATCGAAGAAGACGCCTTTCTTTAGAGTTTTTTGCACAGTTTGTTTGTCAATTTGATAAACTATGTGGTGGGCCCATTGAGAAAATTCTGGCAATCCACCATCCTCCATTCCAAAGCTGAGGACAAGGTGGATACATTTGACCTACCGTCATCTTCGGTTGAGAATGTGACTTGCTTCTAACTGTGTTCGTGGTCGATTTTTTGGTGTGGGGACGGGGGCACCGCCGTCAGCGACGGATTGGTCGTCAGCGACGTAGAAGTTCGGGCTTGGGATTCTTCGGGGAAGCTTCGGGAGGAGGTTTCCCTGAAGAAGCCCGAGGGTCAGATGCTTTGATTGCCAGATGTTCTTGTGGGCAGTCTCGGCAGTCAGGCAGATGTGAGTTCACCTGGCCAAGTATTGATTTCCTTGGACAGTGAGATGCGGCGCCTTCCACTCTCCTTGGTGAGAACTTCAGTTCTGGAGATTTGAATCCGAGCTATCCTTCACGTTCAGATGCAAAGCATTGTGAACTTCATTAGCATTATAGACTTTAATAGCTTTGCTCAGATTTCCCTGTCAAATTCTTAGTCTTAATTTCCCTCTAATGAAACCAAAGGGAAGAATGCTCAAAACCCTTCGCCTTTGTCCAGGTTCAATAATTTGAACCTGGAGGCCGGGATTTGTCAGACATGGCCCGACTAAGTCGTGGATGATGCTGGAGAAAAGGCGTTGATGTCGAAGCTAGTTGGTATAGAATAGAGTCCGTTGAATTAAGTAGAATAGATCATCAAACAATATACATACGTATTACTACTAATTAATCTTGTTTTATTTTGGGACCATTTAGGAGCAAGGTTTGGCTCTGGTCCGGGGTGGGAAGTTCCCCCTCACACTTCGGACAGCACTAGCCGGTAGCCTTAGGGCCGCGCCGACTGCATTTTGCATGGTCTGCGTGGTTCGATCCTACGTGACCTTCTTTATTGTCCTGATCCTCGTACTTCTTTGTTTACAATTTGCCGGACACGAAACGCCAAGAACCAGTTTGGCACAGAAATCAAAGAAGGAGGAGAAAAGCTGCACGCAAGACCTTGAAAGCCTGGAAACAAGGCCGCAAGGTATCAAAGCATCGCCTTCGAGGTGCAACAACTCGTGTTGTCTTGCACCACGGCAGTTCATTGCCGGGCCAGATATCCACAATGCCTCTCAGGTGGATTTGTTAGTGCGGTCAGAAGAATGCCCCCAAAGCTCTCTATTGTCTCTACTGCGGAGAGCATTATACGGCAGTAGAATGGAAGCGAGATCGATCGAAGTCTCAAAAGCGGAAAGAGCAAGATCCTTTTGCGCCTGCACCCAGGAAGGAAGCCAAGAGCAAGGGGAGATCGCAGACCACACCAGCATTACCACCCTCGCCGAGACTACCACCGCCGCCTCCTCCTCCAGGTGGGGTAGAAGGCAATGCCGCTACAGTGGATATTCAGCAACACCTGGCAGCTATCAGAAGCTACTATGGGACTGCAGCAACTTCGAGCTTAGCAAAGGAGATTCAAACCCTGGAGCAGAGAGGAGAATCGAGTCCTCGCCTGACACATGGGCATCTTTCCAAACTTGGGAAGGCCCAAAAGCAGGTGGAGCTCTGCAAACAGGAAGTGCAAAAAGCCGACAAAGATTGGCAGGCCTTTGCATTAAAAGCGAAGAACAGTATGCAAGAGCGATGGGCAGTTTATCAACGGGACAGAGAGAAGGCCAAAGCTGCACTTGTCGAGGCAACAGAGAATTTGAGTTTGCTGAGGACGCAGGTGAAGCACGTAGCTTCTGCACTAAGGACAAATATCAGTGTGGAAGACGAAGGGGATGCAATCCCCACTCTCGAGGAGATGCAGAAGATGCTTGGCAAAATCGAGGAATCAGAGCTCATAGACGACGACGAAATGCAACAAGACATGGAGGAAGAGCTGGTCGCAGACAAAACTGCAGAACCAGCAGTTGCTCTGAGGGCATTTCGAAGAGCCATTCCTCGGCCGGGCAAAGCTGCAGGTGCTGCATCGCCTCCCAAGGGAGTCAGGCAGACTCACTTGAAACAAGCTGTGGAGAAAAAGGAAAAAGGGGAAAAGGCAGATGTAGATCCAGCAGAGACCAAGTGATATTCAGCCATGAAGAATGGGGATGTTCTCATGTAACTGATTGTTGTCAGAATGGTCCGTTGGCGCCATTTTTGAAGGCACGCCTTTGGACGGATAGTTATAACTGCTGGAGTGAAGGCTCATTTTGCCGCCCTTTTCTACAAACAACCAGAGATATCGATAATGGAGAAGTGCAAAGATGGGAACGCCTAAGAAGCATTTCCAGGCTTTCTGTGCTACTTCGTGCCTCCGATTTTTCCCAATGTCTTGCCAGACTTGAAAGGCCAGTAATTAGTTCGTTAGAGAAGCATTCAAGGGTCAATGATTCAAGGTGGGAGCAGTGTCATGTCGACGACTTCGCGGATGAGGTTATCGCACAAGCAATGCTCTTTTGCTGTCTTGAACTAATTGCCTTATTCGGGTCCGGAATTTATGCATGTTGGGAAACTTGGTGTCAGTTTAGAGTAGACAAAAAGCCAACTTCACCTCGATCACATAGGTATCATAGAATCAATAGAAGGCAGATGAAAGCAATAGTCTTGATCTTCCTTTGCTTGGATTTTGTAGGTGTGAGAGCTAGGATCCATGCCGAGACTTATGCTTTGTCTTCTGACATCCAACCTACTAGGAGAAAGGATAGTACAGTCCACCACGAAGCAGAACACGAGGTCATGTCGCTTATGGAAAGGTCAGTTGCGAGTGATTTCGATCCACCTCTGCAAGAAAGCGAAAGTGGAACTCAGGGCTTTCAATCGCATCTTGCAGCGGTGCATGGAGCAGTGGTTTTAGGACGTGAAGCAGAGGTCGGTGACTTACTAAGGGCATTCCTGACCGAGTCTGCTGTACGACTACCAGAGGTGGATCCTTTGGTGCTTGACACATATTTCGTATCTAGGTGGCACAGAATCAATAAGACACCAAGAAGAATCAGTTGCTATAAAGCTCTCAATTGGCAGAATGCATTGCTAGCTGCATGGCTTCCAAGGGGAGATAATAGCTTCGTCACTGTCTTTATGGCACAGATGCATTCTAGTACGCAAGAAGGTCCGGAACTGCTCATCATTCCCAGAGAAGATGATTTGATTCATGCAAGACCTTTCTTGGTGGACGTCATGGCACACATCACGGTGCGATGTGGAGTCTGGGCTGAGAGAAACTCAAAGGTTCGTGACATTTTCTTAGGTACAGAGTTCGATGCCTTTTGCAACCACCATTGCCAAATGGCCTGTTGGAATGGAAATGATTTTGTGATTTTTGATTGGGAGGACACTGTAGAAGCAAGAGCAGGTGCTTATTGTAAGTTGAGCCGTGCTATTTCTTGCGCCGGTGTTTCCAGGAAGCGCAAGGCTGTTTCACTTGGAACGACACTGTTGCAGAATGGCAGTCAGCTGAGCACTGAAGAACAGAGCCTCTTTCAAATCGATCTCACGATACACAGCCTGTTCCTTGAACAATTCACTGCCATCTTCGAGACTCGCAGGTTCTTAAGATTCATTCGCCATGGGAGAGACTCTCAGGAAAGGCGTCTGCATTCTCGACAAGTTCCGGTTTCGGAGAGGAATCGTGCCTATTGGAGAATTTTCACGCGAAGAGTGGCCGCAATAACTAGTTGCAATGCACAGACTCACTTTAGAGATGAAGTTCAATTTCTGTTGCAACGTAGATATAGAAGCACGTTCTTGCACGTACACATTCCTACTGACGGACACCAACCACAGTCAGCCGGTCTCGTCTGGGACAATACTTGGAATCAGGAACAGCTAGTGCCTTGGGTTAGACTGCGAGCAGCAGAAAGCTTTCCACTTGCAGATGTAGCCAAGTTATGGTGGGTGGAACCTCAGCCTGCCCCGCATCAACAACTCGGACTAGACGATGTTCACATGATCCTTTTTGTGCCAGTTGAAAGGCATTTTGCTATTCTGGTCTGTGTGGATTGGTCACATATGGAGCCAAACAAGCACACTCTTCTGGCAGGAATGTTTGCTTCTCCTGTCACGCAGCAGAGTGTGATTCGATGGTTGCGTCTTGAGAGGGATTGTCGTCGAGTCTTGTGCAAATTCCAGCTAGGAGGAATGCCAATTGATGATGAAGTCCTGCCGATAGACGCCGATGGACAAAGACTTGATCTAGTGCTGCATGAAGACTCCTGTGACCAGTTTGCAGTTCATGGTCATGGAATGCAGACACCAGAAATAGATGCGATAGTGGATGAAATTGGTCTGATGCAGACAGTATTAGATCTGTCGATTCGCGACTTCTCTGCAGATCTGGATACTATTCTGCGTGGTTTGCGTAGAGCATTCTCTACAGTTCAGCAAACGTTCACTATACAGGTCGTATCAGGAGATGGGTTCGTTATTAGGGATGTGCTAGCAAGATGTGAACTATACTCCATCACAGATGAGCGTGAGTTTCGACAATGGTTAGAGCCACTGCTTTTGCCAAGTTTGAGGGGTCCCATAAGAGGTTTTCTTGGAAGAATTAAACTGGTACAAGAAGCTCCTCTCTTGATAGTGGCAAGGCAAGGCCAACCTAGACAAATACCATACTTGGTCAAATATCGTCCAGAAGGTCTCTCCACTCTGACGCAGATTGTCCTGGTGACAAGGGTCAAACAGGTGTCTGAGTTTGTCGCTGAGTTCGACAGCCAGAGCTATCTAGCATGGGCTGGAGAAGACTGTGCCTACGAAGTCGATGGTAGATGGGTGGAACCGTCATTTCAAGTCGATTGGATTCCTGCGACGGTGATCCAGATTTTCCAGTCAAGGCAGAAAATCCAAGAACTTGACTGTGGACCGCATATGGAATTGAATGCATACGATCCATACATACAAGCAGAAGAAGTTTCCAGACGGCTTGTTAGGGACTCTTCAAATTCCTCTGAACTGAGTTCATCCAGTAGCGATGACACAAGCTGCTTACAACTTCCTCTTCAACATGGTGCAGATCATGATGAAGGGGAAAACACTGCAACCCCGAAATATACATGGCCGCGGCGTCCAGCGAAAGAGAGTAGCAGTGGAACGCGACAGCAGACATTCGGGAGAGGTGCAAGTGAGATAAGTTGTGCGCAGCAAGTATCTGGAGGAAGAGAAGAATACGGGGAAAACACTGCAACCCCAAATATAACGGCACAAGGTCAAGGCAACTATGACCGCAATTTCACACTGGACAGCGAGATACACCAGGAGCGGATGCAATATTCGCAATTCGGAGCATATTTTGGTGAAAACACTGCAACCCCGGAGAGCCTCTCCCAGGAGACGGAAGAGGGTGATCACGGTGTTCTGATGCAAACGATTAGAAATCCAGATCAGTTACAAACTTATCTGGCGCAAATCGCCCTGGAACGAGTGATGAACTTTGATTTTTGGTTCCACAGCAAGGCCTTCCCATTGGACTTTCGCAATGAGAAGTACTCCTTGGAATTTAGGCTGGGACAGAGTGTGGAACTACGGATCAAGAGGCATCTGGGCATTCGTGACAGAATCTCTGTATATCCTGCATGGCCGCATTTGAATGAATTCGTTCCGACAGCAACCTTCCTGGTTACTGACTCGTCCAATGTCCCGCGAGTTCTGGTGCTGGCAGAAGTGCAGGGTATTGCTAGACGAGAACGTGGCACGTTCCTCTTGCAAACACCACAAAGTAATATGGGAGTCAGCGATGTGTTCAGGCAATTATGTCCACAAAATGAGTGCGAATGGACTGCCACATGTTCAGTTATGATAGGGTCCACACAGTTTATGTGGGAGCAGGTCTTTCCTGTCAGACAAGGACTGTACCTACGTCTCTTGGAGGTAAGACAACA